CTCAATTTTGCCTATCAGTATCACTGGTATATCTGAAGGTCAACAATATGCTACACACATTGGTTCCATCATCTTATCCGGTTATTCACACCTTGAGCATACTCCAACCGACATTCTAGTTCCCAACGTTCTTTACGTTCCAACAATGAAGGTTAACTTATTATCCCTCAGTCAGTTTTGCAATGCCGGAGCGTATTTCTCAGGATCGTCAGAGAGCATCACCGTTTCCGGTATGCCTGGAAATGTGTATTTCGTATGCGAGAAGACAAAGGTTTGCTCGTCTAACTCAGACTTAGCTTATTCTGTGTCAGCTGAACATTGGCATTATCGTTTAGGCCATTTAAATTATTCATCTATCAAACATCTGGTCTTGAGTGGTTGTCTCAAGGTTTCCTCAAATGTAACTCCGTCTAAAATGTCTCCTTGTATTACATGTCAAAAAGCCAAAATCACTCAGCCTCCTTTTTCATCTCATTTCCCATCCTCATCAATGCCCTTGTATCATATCCATTCTGATGTGATGGGGCCGTTTCCTTCTTCTATTGGTGGTGCATGTTATATTGTCACTTTTATTGATGATTTTTCTAGACATGCTAGTATCTATCCTATCAAGAATAAGTCAGATGTTTTTGAATGTTTCGTTAAATACAAAACATGTGTTGAAGTACTTTTTAACTCCAACATTAAGCACCTGCACACCAACAGGGGTGGTGAGTATAGGTCAAACACTTTCATGAATTATTTAGATCAACATGGAATCAGCCTTGAGCAAGGACCAGCGGATACTCCCCAGCAAAACTCCGTGGCAGAAAGATACAATCAATCTCTGATTGAACAAATTAGGTGGGTATTAGGTCACGTGTCAGTACGGGTGCAATTCTGGGCGGAAATTGCCTTAGCGTTAGCTTTCACTTTGAATCAATTGCCCCACGCTTTTCTCAAATTTAATTCTCCTTTGAGCTGTTGGAACCAGCATTTACCAAGTACTGGGTCACATGACCCTGATCCCACGTTTTTCAGAACACTTGGATGTTCCACAATTTTTCTTTCCAAACAAAACTCCGCAAAACTTGGTTTGAAGGGTCGTGAGGGAGTCTTATTGGGATACAAACTCAGTGCTAAGGCATATCGAGTATGGGATCTTGAAGAAAAGAAAATCATGATTACGCAGGTGGTGGTGGTCAATGAAGACTCTTTCCCTTTCAGTCATATAAATTCATTCTCCGAAGGACCAAAATTCTTGGTTCTAGACAACCCAGGTGCTGATATAGAGTCATCTACTTCTACTGCATCCTCCCAGATTCATGCTTCTGATTTTATATCTGTTCCATCTACTTCTACAATTCCTGCTTTGTTTTGATCTCCTTCTATGTCTTTACCTCATTCTGTTCATCAATTACCTGCTTCAAAAAGTCCTCTTCGGCCTTTAATTCTATCAACATCTGTATCACCAGCTAGAAACTCATCAAATGCCTCTATCATCCCATTTAATCCCGGGTCCGTATCTCTTACTGGAGGGACGAAAGTTGTACCTCCACAACGATCCAACCGTGCTACAGGTGAGCCTGATTGTCTAGGAGATCTTCATGCATTTCATGCAGGATTAGATTCAAATGATAAACCTACCTACAAACAGGCGATGGCTGCTTTGGACGCAAGTGAATGGCTTGAAGCAATGCAAATTGAATTCGATTCGCTCAAATCTCATCAAGTCAGGAAATTGGTGGCTAGACCAGTCGGTGCTAGGGTAATTGGTGGTAAGTGGGCTTTAAAGAAGAAGAGAAATGAAAAAGGGGAGGTTATCAAGTATAAAGCTTGTTGGGTTTGCTTTGGGAATAATCAGGTGGAAGGGATTGACTTCAATGATACCTACTCGGCAGTAGCTAAATCTGATACTTTTTGTCTCTTAGTCTCTATTGCTGCATATCTTAAATGCTCCGTTGTTCAATTTGAAATTATCACGGCTTTCTTGCGCGGTCTCATCAAAGAGCGTGTGTACATTCAACAAGTGAAAGGATTTGTGGAACCAGGTAGTGAAGGCATGGTATGGGAATTGGTCAAATCGCTATATGGAACTCGTCAAGGAGCTCACGATTTCAGCAATCACTTGAGAAGTGTTTTACTGGCTTTTGGTTTTGTCACCTTGCAAGCGGACAACTGTCTTTTCATCTGCCGACGTGGAAATCATTTTCTTTATCTTCATATACACATTGATGATGGTTTCTTAATCTCTACCTCAGATGAGCTCATTGAAGATTTTCAAAAACACCTTCTTTTGTCTTATGAAATCAAGTGGAAACCACGTCCGACTTTACATCTTGGAATGTGTCTCACTTATCTCAAAGACGGAAGTATTTTTTTGGATCAGTCACACTACTTACGAGACATGCTCAAAAGGTTTGGTTTGGACGATTTGAATTCTGTCAAGATTTCTCTTCCTGTTGGATTGAAGCTAGCTGTGGGTTCACCAAAAGATATTCAAGCTGTGTCACACTTACCTTACCAATCATCAATTGTATCACTCAACTGGGCCTCTATCAGCACCCGACCAGACATAGCTTATGCTGTTAGCCAACTTGCCAGATACAACTCAGGTTACACCTTCAGTCATTGGACCGTGGCTAAACACTTGACTCGATATCTCGCTGGATCTTTATCACGTGGTATCCTCTTCAAAGGCACTATGCCTGCTGACTTGAAAGGCTTTGCGGATGCTGATTACACAAATGATGTTAATGATCAACGCTCTGTGACTGGCTATTTATTTACCTTTGGGGACACCATAGTTTCTTGGCGCAGTCGCTGCCAGAAATCAACCGCTTTGTCAACAACTGAGGCAGAATACATGGCTATTTTGGATTGTGCTAGACAAGCTATCTGGCTTAAGCTCCTTTTTCAAGATCTCAATCTCTCGGTTTCGGCGGTTAATATTGTGTCCGTTGGGGAAGCCGTTCAACTCTTCAATGATGACCAAGGAACTGTTTTATTGTCTAAGTAGCCGGCTGTTAATGAACGTTCTTAGCATATCGACGTACAATATCATTTCATTCGAGATCACGTCAAGTTGAATAACATCATCACCGCTAAACCCTTACCGATTGAGGCTTTCGAGCGCTGCTGTGGTCAAGTTGCCATTACTGACTGCAAGAGTTAGGGGGGAATGATGGTGATGGAGACTACGAATGGTGTGTGTGCTCTGAGCGAGTGTCTGTTCTGAATTGATATGTTTCCTTTTTTGTTGTTATGTTTGATCCTATTTGATATGGTTCCATCTTCACATGTGCTGCTCTCAATTCTTGTCTTGTGTTGCCTTTTATCTAACTCTTAGCCGGTTTTTGTCATCTTTTCCTTATAAAGCCACCTATGAGTCAAGGGTTTGAACTTCATCAATTTCAAACCCTCTCTACTTCACTATCTGCAATAATCTTACTTAAGACGTTGATTGCATTATCGCGAATGACTCATAGGTAAGCCATCAGTCTATTTATGTGTTTTCTTCTCTCTTTCTATCTCATTTATATTACTTCATATATGTACAATATGTTTTGTGCAATAAATGTTTCATTATCGATTTCAAACCCTCTCTATTTCACTATCTGCAATAATCTTACTCACAACATTGATTGCATTATTGTGAATGACTCATATGTATTGTCTGGATGTTCAACTCTAAACCGTCCTGTTTCAGAACACTCGTATTGTATGGATGAACAGGTCTGAAAATCAATTTGTTGATCAATGAGGGTCAATGACATTGGTGATATTTAGAATGGGTGGTAGAATGAAATTTATCAGATACATTTAATTGAAGCAATTCAACTACCATATTACGCTTCCATCTCTCATGCTGTGTTTTGATGAAGATATGACTGAATTGGCAACAAGTCGCACATCTAACACAAGCAGTCAAGTTTGTATGTACAGTTGAGATGATGTAAAAGGGACCTTGATCAACTAGCTTTGGTGACAAATGAAGTGAAGAAACAGATAAACTGAATCACAAGTCATAGAACAAATGAAACGAGAGAAGAAACTAAATGAATCAAAAAAAATGAGACAGGAGAAGATAAACTAAATGAATAGAAAAGAATGGAACAAGAGAAGATGAACTAAATGAATAGAACCGGAAACATCAAAATTTCTGTTTGAGCCACGCATATAAACAAGTCTCAGCCTGAATTTTATAGAACGTAAGACCACAGAAGAAATGAAAAAAAATGAATAGAAAGGGAAACTCCAATCATTCTGTTTACTTCAATCCAAGCTTCTCTGTAACTACACATAAGATATCTTGATATGAATTCCATAGAAAATGAATAAAAGGATAAAGAAAAAGTAGATTGATAGAGACGGAAACTCCACACTTTCCTTTCGATTTGATCCAAGCTTTCCAGTTGTAACTACACAATACTGTTCACTGAAGACCATTTTAACAACCTAAGTTGATACAACAAAGTATGGGAGCCAGAATGATTAGATTGGATAAGCAAGCAGACAAGATATGAAACAAGATGAAATTAGATAGATTCATGAATTCATAAACTTCATGTTTGATAGACGAATATCAATCAATCATACGAAGTACCCGTATGAGGTACGAAGGAGGGTACAAAGGTCCATGTCAGTACCATGTCAGTGAGGGACTTAGGCAACGGCCTGACCGTTCTGCGCAGGTCCACAAGACGCGCTTATGTGAGACCAGCCCAGGGCAGAACGGACAGGACCTGGATCTTGGAAGGAAAACAAGAAGATCAGATATCTCATCCTGATCTCTTCCCCCATCTCGTTTTCCTCCAAGTCTTGTCGTATCCTGCATCAGGATACTCGCCGTTGTCCTCACGTTTCCACTCTCCATCTCTCTAGCTCGACTTCTCGAATTTTTTGTTTTCCGTATTCCGTTTCTAAAAACTTCATTACACGACAATAGACAGTTTAAATCTTCCTAGTAATCGTTTTAAATCCATTTAAATCATATAAACCTACATATTTAAATTAAAAAGATGTCTGAAAGAACAACAAGAAAGAAGAACGCGACAGGAGAGAAAGACGTGGAAAGTAATTCAATCACGAGTATGCTAGTAGGACCCCAAGGAGAACAATCAAGAGTTCTCGGGGCAAATCTTAAAGAAACAAGCACTCAATCGGGCCAAGGAGATTCGGTTAACACCAAGAATCTCGGACCAAATAAGAATTCAGGAGACTCGGTGAAAACCAATGAGAACTCATCAAAGAATCAAGGAGATATCGTTAGTAACGATAATCTCGATTCAATTCAAGGAAGTAAGTTAATTTATTTTAACTTTTTTCATGATCGAGGAATAGAATCTAAAAATAAGTCATGATTCCTTCTAGGTAAAAATAGAGAAACTAATAGCTCGAGATCAACGACAAATCCCATAATTATAACAGAAGATTTAGTTGATGATAGAAGCTCAGAGAATTCGAACGAATTAAATGACTCTAATTTATTAGATATCAATAAAGCCTTCAAACAAATTCCAGTTACGAAAAGCTCACCAAAGAAGAAATCCAATCAATCAATCTTTATTGAGAGAAGCAATAGCGAAGGACAATTGGTTAACCAAGTCTATTTAGATGCTTTGAGAAGTAAACCACCAAATGTTGAAAGTAAGTGATCTTACATGAATGATCTACTAAGAAGGTTAACTAATAAAAAGGATACGTTTGTTAGAAGATGTAGTGATATTAGAATCAGGGAATGATTTCGATAACAACATAGACTTGACCGATAAAGATGCAGTTTTCAAAAAGGCGATGAGCTTAACTATGAAAGGAGACGGCTTTGGTGCATCAAAATACTTGAAAGTCTATGAATCGTTAAGTCTCTTAGGAACTAATCGACCATCTAACAAAAGAGCAACATCCGCCAACCCGGTGTTAGAAGAAAACCGAACGGTGAATGAAAGATCGGATGGTGGAGTGTTCAAAAACGGAATGTGGTTCTTCCCAGGTGAGACTTTACAAGTTGAAATAATAAAATAAATCATGATCATTGATATAAATTTATATAAGGAAAACGTCGAATTATCAAAATCAAAGTTACACACCTTATTTCGACAAGAACATAAAAGAATTACGATACCCGATTCCTTTGACAATCTTCGATAAAGATTGGCAAAACAAAGCCATGGGCTACCATGTAAGAAAGAAAGCAAAGTCAGTAGATGGAGAACTGAAAAGTGATTCCTATACGGGTCTTCCCTATGGTGACGAATGGTTATTAGATTACGGAGAGTGGAGTATTCATTACAATGGATACATCACTGCTCTCAGGAATGCCAAATTCGTAAAATTCGTGGAATGGTCTTTAGCTCATAAGGCGAATGTGGAAAGAGTCTTATCTTTAATGGGTTGGATGACAGCTTTGAAATATGACATCAGGGTTAGAGAAGAAGCACTGATTAATAGAGTAGAAGTAGATGGATTAGTAGCACCACCAGATATCTCAGAATTCAATCAAGTATTAGCCGAAGAATGTTTCGGAGAAACGAGGTTAAGAGGTAAGTAATGAACCCCTTAAATTATTATGATTTGGTGTTGACGAATATGTTCCCTTCCAAAATTTGGTAGATGAATCTTTATTTAAGAAAAATCCTTATGTTGAGGGAGGAGAAAGATATGGTTGGGACCCAGCGACGGGTAAACCACCTAAGAAATCAGATCAATTTAAACAAAACAAGCCTTATCAAAAATGGAATAACGATCAACAAGCGAGTGGTAGTAATTATAATGACTCGGCTATAGTGAACAAGAAACCTTTCGAAAAGAAGAAATTCGCGAGAGGCTATCAAGGAAACAACTTTGATGAGAATTATAAGGAAAAGAGAGCTGCATCAGTTGCGAATAAGAATAGTCAACAAAACCCTACTCCTAATAAGTAGGTAGAGTTTTCTGCTATTCATTACTTCTTTTCCCCCTTTTTTTGTTCTATCCCAGTTTTCACAAATCGTTGTTAGTCATAGAGTTTTGATGTAATAAAGTTATTGATATATGTATTTCATGTTCCTTTTTCCTTCTTATTATTGAAATGAAGTATAAAGAGTTCAACGTCGAATCATGTTGCGATGCAAGAAGATTCGAGAGATACTGTGTCGTTACAAGATAAATCGAGAGATGTTGTGTCGTTACCAGAAAACTGGCCAAGTAAAATAAAGTGCGAGATGAATGTGGCTAAATGGAAAGAAGCTTTAGAGAAACATCGGATGTTACCTGATTACGAGGATGTGTTAGAAGGATTCGTCAGTGGTTTCGATCAAGGGATACCAAGTCACACATTACCTTTCCCAAATTTGGCTTATTTTACCCCAGACAACCACACGTCATCGACTTTAGCGTCAGAGAAGATTATAACCTCAATGAAAAAAGAGGTAATAGCAAAACGTATGTTTGGACCATTTTCACACAAACAGGTTGCAGAAGTTTTCGACTTCTTTAGATCAAGTCCTTTAGGAGCTGTAATTAACGGCGATGGATCCCTAAGACCAATTAACGACCTATCTTATCCGAGGAATGACCCTCACATAAGATCAGTAAACTCTTTTGTGAGTGCAGATGATTTTAAGACGACATGGGACGATTTCAACGTTGTGGCGACCTTTTTCAAATCATCAAAAACCGCGTGGTTGTTAGGTGTTTTTGATTGGGAAAAAGCATATAGGCAAATCCCAACAAAAATGGAACAATGGAGATACTTAATGGTAAAGGATTTCGATGGCAATTTGATGTTGGATACTAGAATAACCTTCGGAGGCGTAGCTGGATGTGGTTCCTTCGGACGACCAGCTGACGCATGGAAACAAATTATGATGAAGGAATTTGATTTAATTACGGTTTTCAGATGGGTAGATGACAATTTGTTCATCAAACGAACTGGCTCATCAATCGAAATGAAGGAAATCGCGGAGAGGTCGCAAGAACTAGGTGTTACAACAAACGTAGAGAAGCTGTCGAAGTTCAGACACGAGCAAAAATTTATTGGTTTTATTTGGAATGGATCAAATAAAACCGTGAGACTCCCAGAAAACAAATTGTCACAAAGGAAGGAACAGATTAAGGAATATTTGATTCCTGAAGCGAATATTACTTATGATAAGTTAGAAATTTTCATTGGAAGATTAAATCATGTGACCTACATCTTACCTCAATTGAGATGCTATTTGAACAGCTTACATCGAATGCAGAAAGAGTGGGTTAACCGTTTCGCATCCAGGAAGTTACCTTCGGACGCGATAGAAGATTTGCAATTTTGGTTAGAAACGCTAGAAAGTTTCAAGAATTTGAGATTAATCGCAACAAAGACACCGAAGGAAATTTCTTGGGTAGGAGACGCCTCAACCTCCTTTGGAATTGGCGTTTTAATCGGGAAGAAATGGAATCAGTTCAAACTCTTAGATGGATGGGAATTTAGTGGCAACTCTAAACGGAACATCGCTTGGTTGGAAACAATCACCATAAGATTAGGCTTCTTGATGCTCCTCGAGTTGAGGATACTTCATGGGCAGAACCTGATCGTCTGGACAGACAACACGACCTCCGAAGGTGTTCTGAGGAACAAGAAGTCCAGGGATCGTGAGGTGAATGACGAGTGGAAAATTATCCAGAGACTATCAATCGAGAATAATCTGACTTTGCACCCGATGAGAGTAACTACAGAGGATAACGACGCGGATGAATTGTCAAGAGGTATTGTAGGAGATCATGCCGATGCCGATAGGGTTTACATCCCTCTCCCGAATGACCTGTGTGGTGTCATTTAACAAGCCGTCGTTGTGAGAGGAAACCTGCCTAGTGGAGCGTGAATTCGTTGTTTCCTGCTTCAAACATATGCAATTCAAGTTCCTTTGTTTCTATTGTGATCAGCAATCAGTGAGCATTGGAATGCCTTGGCAGCTGAGTTGCCCTGAGACACGTGCGCCACGTATTGCTAAAATAAAACTCAGCCGCAGAGCGACAGGCTGGTATTTCAGCCACCCCTGAACCACATAGATGCTCCTGTCGATCACTCCTTGATTGAGATATCACAACTCACAAGGTGTTTTTCTCAACACCTCAGTTTTCGTTGGTGGCACCATAGGTGAGTGCGGTGGTTCGGTCTTCCTTGGACCACATAGATCCTCCTGTCGAACGCTCGCTGACCAAGATATCATAACTCACAAGGCTTTCTCGACACCTTAGTTTCGTTAATGGCACGATGAGCCAACCTCACCACTCACTGTTACGAGAGTTTTTATCTGGAGGCGCATCAAATGAGTTATCAAGTATGGACTTCCACCTGCTAAACGGCTGGCGACCGAATACTCTGATCAGTTACAATAGTGCAGTAAGGAAGTTCCTGCGCTACCTCGAAGGCAAGAACTCCGGGCCCTTCGTTTTGCCGGCGAGCCCAGAAGACATCTACGGTTTCTGTTTCTGGGCCGGTCGTACGGAGTTGGGATCTAACGGCAACGAAGTCAACTCCAAAACGCTCAGGAAATACCTGTTTGGACTTCAGGCTTGGCATTTGTTCCATAACGTGCCTTATCCCCATGTCGTACGAGATCGAGTCAACGTGATGCTGCGGGCGTCAGCCCAGGCGGACGCCATGCTACCCTCTAGGCCACCCAAACCTGCCGTCATGATTCGACACCTCCTTGCGTTGTTCGATGATCTCGACAAGGATGACCCGAAAGACTCAGCCATCCTGGACTGCGCCATTTGCGCCTTTTGGGGTCTCGCGCGTCTGGCCGAACTGACGTATGATGTCTCTTGCGGCGATACACCTTGGATCAATTCAGTCTGGTGTGAAGATGTAACTCGAACGACTGAATCATCGAACTCCTTGACTCTGCATGTCAGAGGCGCAAAAACCGCGAAGGCAGGTGTGGCCCAGGTCATCATACTGAATGGCCAACCAAGTTTCTTATGTCCTATCTGTGCGGTATTGCGACGACTAGCTACATCTTCAGCAGGTTCGGATTCCCTCTTTGGTTATCTAGACCCAGGTGGCTTTCGACGAAACCTCACTCGGGCGGCTGTAGCCACAAGATGCATTCAAGTCTGGGAAGCACGAGGTTGGCACGGGATATCGGGACACTCTTTTCGCGTTGGTGGCGCATCCTTGCGAGCCGCGCTGGGCATTCCTCACGAAGACATCATGTCTCTCGGCCGTTGGACATCCCAATGTTATCGACTCTACCTTCGGGAATATTCCTTGAAGGAGTTGCGAGAAACCGTGTCTTTGATGAACTCAGGTTACCGGATTGGTCCCTCCTGAGTTGGGTACGGGGAAGCAAGGTTCGCACAAGTTGGGGGTTTCGCTTAGGCTCAGGCTTGTTCGCAAACCCGAGTTCTGGGTGTTTCACTAACCCCACTTCTTGTGCGGTTTCCTTGACACAGGCGCTTCTGCTCTGCGTGTCAGACGGCCATCACCTTTCCCGTCACGACTACACTTTGACGACCGCTGCTCCCGAGGCTAGATCCCGGTGCGGTTTCCGTCAAGGCGTCGTAGGGATAAGGCGAAGGCTCCTCTTCCCCCACACCCCATACTACTTGTATGGCGAACACGCTAGTTATAAGCTAGACACACTATTCGTAATTGAGTCTTAGATTCGTGATACACAGAATTGAATAAGACACGTTTAGGCAGGCATAGCCTGCCCCCACCCATAGCTCATAAATAAGAGAGATAAAGAGCTAAGAGACACTGACCGTCACGAATGA